CTCTACGGAGAATGACTTTCTTTTCCTTTCAGGGAACCATGGCATGATGTGGACTGTAATGATGGATAATCTCACTGAAGCCTCCGAAACACACACATCACAGTTTCAAGAAAGAAGTGGGGAAGACAATGTATATTAAACTATATTTAACATAACCTTTGGGCCTGTAGCTTTTCCATTTACTCGAACTACCTTATACAACTGAAGACACCACACACAAAACTTCAATGGTACCTACACACACTGGTAAGGTACAAAGTAAGACTAAGAACTTACGAAGCGAGCCAGATACCAAAATGTAAAGATGAGTGAAAAATGGCACAAAATACAAATGATACAGATCATGAAGCAGTCTTTGAGAAGTTAGCAGACATTCAAGAAATTCCTGCCTTTTGATGTAAGAGTATCTTCTTCAGCAAAGCCAGTCTCGACAAATCCAATACCAAGTACTGACAAGATGTCAATACATGATATTGGAAGAACAGCCAATTTTTTTACCCACATTGGTATGGTTAACACAAAACAAAAAGCGATGAACATCACAAGTGTAATATACTCCACCATATTTTATCTGAGAACACAAAATGTGCAAACATTTGTGTGAACCACTGCTGATGCCCACTGCAAATACACAGAAAATGTCAACATGAGATGCAGCACTGATGCTGAGAGCACGAGTTATGAAAGAGCCAGAGCTTCAACAGAACACAAATATAATATTGCAATAAAATTGTGCATCACTACTGGCACCCTGCAAATATCAAAACCAATCACTACATAGAAAGTTTGTGCTAGTTGATAAATTTAGATCCCAGTAAAGCCCTTAAAAATTATTTATGCAATACATGTTTGCTGATCACATGCCTGAACTTAAAATGTGATTTGTCACATGCCCAAATATTCTTATCACAACCAAACCCAAGTAGTCTTCTATGGCAAACATCCATGGTGGAGAGAAAAGTAGCAGTTTAATTTCTACAAATATTACCCAACATAACTTTTTCTTCTAGTCAAGTTCTTTCAAAATACCATGTTTTGAACCCATAAAAATGTATATACTCAAGTCATATAAACTAAAAAACCTGAAGGGGATAAGCTAAGACCCAAGTGAACATGACAGGACAAAAATAGATCTTAGCAAAAAAAAAAGTAAGAGCACATAAAATGGGTTAATGTGACTCAGGAAGTCAGTTCAGTAAAAAATACAATTTTTAAGATTCCATCAAATGTGCAATTTTGATCAGCTTAGTAACTATTAGCTTTGCACAGACTGCACAATGGCGCTTACATTTTCGTAGTAAATACAGAAGTGCAGATACGCTACACCACCACAGTACAGACTTCACTAATGCTAGACATTAAAAATCCACCCCTGAATAAATACTTAAATATAGCACGACTGTAGAATGACTCAATTCCAAAAATATGTAATAGGCAAACCACATTCCAGAAATAATTTAGTAAACTGACATGTGGTAGTCTATGCGAGACCAAAAAGAAGTCAAACAAATACAAGAAACCTGTTCCATCTGTAAAGTGTACCAAAATGGGCAAACACACATTGTTAAAAAGAACTTATTCAGTCATCAGTTCCAGACTTTATGAACCTTATATCAAAACCAATAGCATTCATAGAACCCTTTGAAAAGTGCCTATCCACTGATGAATTCATATTACCAACAAAAACTGAAATGTGCCCAAATGAAAATACTGTATGTACTTCCTAAGCAATACCAAATGACAACTATTTATTTGGTTAAAACTGATGCTAGGGTAACAGTTTCTGAGTTACTGTAGTCACTAGCTATGTTGTGAACCAAAGCAATGTAGTATCATTCGCAAACTGCTCGACCATTCGGCCTACTCTTGATCACTGAGGGTAATCATCAGCGGCTTGGTAAAGATGATGTAAATGGGAAGAGACAAGGGTTTAGCTGCAGAAATAAACTTGTAATAAGTTCAAGGCAATAAAAAATCAAAGAAAACTAGTAAACAGAAACCAGTATTCCATTGATGTTCTTCTGATGTGATATATGCTATCAGCAATAAACTATAAAAACTGAACCACAAAAATTACCAGTAAACCATAACAAGCAAATTTTGTTTCTAACTGGCCTCTTAATTTGATTCATCAACTAACACAGGAGTAGCTCAGAAGTACTGTACAATAGACTTCATATACAAGTTCTGAAAATTTCTTGTACATTGTCATGTATTTTCAGAATTACAAAATAATGAATCATAAAAACTTATGTAATTGGTCAACTCTAAACATACAACACCTTGACACTGGTTTGATATCTTTATACAGATAACCAATATTAAAGGATGTCCACCTTCTGGGATGTTGCGTTCAAACAACTTCAAGACTACAGAGTATAACATCCCATTAAGACAGCCACCTTCATACTTACTGCCATGAGAACCTATAATCTTAACCACATCATAGCTTACATATCGTGCCTCCAAGCATCATATAACCTTCACACTGCTTATCAGAACAATGGCAGCAAAGAGCAGAGCATTTTATAACAAATTTACTTTGTCTAAATAACATCCTTTGCAAGTCATTTTGTAAGTTACAATTGCAATATTAAGCACACAAATTAACTACGCCCACACCAAGTTTTCTCTCCTTCACTGGTATTATGATACCATTCACTACTGCCTTTATATTTAATCACTGCATTACACAGGCAAGCAGTTTGGTAAATACATCCCAAGTGATTTACACTTTCTTTACTGAACCAGTGTGCCAGCAACCCACAAGACCACAAAAATGTTAAAATTAAACTCCAAGGTTAGATGCTGAAAGCTGACTCTCACAATTCACCAAATCCTGTAACACTACAATTCACAGCACAGACAGTCCTTTATTCCCCTTCAAGCTCCCAAGATTGCATCAACTTTCAAAACTAAAGCTATGCACATGCATTTTCAAATCAAAAATATTCTAAACCCATCATAATCACCAGGAAATATCTTCACGCTGCTCATCACTGTTAAGACATCCTACAGCAATCAACACCTCCGAATACTCTACTCATATCACCATTCACCTCATACAAATATACAAGGGAAACTACCGGGTTTCCATTTAATGAGGCTGCGGTCATGCTTGCATTGCGTGATCGGCTGGCGATCTGTTGACGTCAGCAGGACTAGTGCGTGTTCTTCCCATGAGTCACTGGCGAATCAGTTTCATTGTGTCTCTCGTTGCGGATTGACGTTGATAATATGGTGTATAGTATTAAGCAATGTGTGTTCTAAGTATAAACATATGCCAAATATTCATCCTATTCATGGCTTTATGTAAACAATCCACACACTGCAGAAGAACTTAAAGAAACTATTTGACAACTGATTTCGGCAATTACCCCAGAAGAGCTTCGTCTAGTATTTAGAAATATGTTAACGAGATGTGAAGCTTGCCTGCAAGCACAAGGAAGTCACTTTGAACATCTTTTGTGATTTAAGGTAAGAACAATTAATGTAAAAACATGTATTATTAGTGACGAGAAATATTCGTAGTTTGCTGTTACTAGCAGCACTGAAACTGATTCGCTGGTCACCCACCGGAAGAACGCTGAAAACTACCGCCGACATCAACAGAGCGCCAGTCGACCACGCAATGCAAGCATGACCGCAGCCTCATAAAATGGAAACCCAGTACTTGGTCTCCATATGCCAAAAATATGTTTAGCAGCTCAGAACTAGGAAGGTGAAATCCTCCCCTGCAGTACGAAGTCAAAAGTTAACCCATGATTACCTAGCACCTTGAAAAGTGAATGATGGATAGCCCACAAAACTAAATGCAAGTAAACTTCAGGATAATTAGATAAAAACTTAAATTACAACCCTGTTAAATAGAGACAAAGATACAATCATAGATTCCATGTCTACAATTATAAGAAATTTACAGAGCATAATTCTAGCATGTTTCTTTGATGCCATCTCAGCGATCTGTCAATACCATTTTCTGTTAATTGCTGCTAATTTTCTATTTGTCAATGCTGACTTCCTACAAAATATTAGTAAACGCATTGTTTTTCTCTGTGATGTATGTCACACTCTCCAGTTTGACAAATATTTAGCATAAAATGTTTCACTTATCACAAATTTTTGTTACTTTACACTCCAATACATATTTAGCAAGTTACATTCAGTATATGTCCAACTGCAAGTAGATCTCTTGTAAAGCATACATTCTTACTGTCATTTTAACCAAAACTGAGATTAAATTCAAATTCTGTTTCAAGGAAGTCTTCACTGGCACCTCACATGAAAGCTTCAAATCTCAACACACTTCCAAATATCAAATTAACTAAAATCAATTCCAGTGACACACACAGGCATGAAGTAATGTGCTAATTTTTACTGTTGGAAGGACCAATGACAATTGTGATTTTTCTTGCTCACCAGGACAACCAAAAACATCATGAAACTCCTATTCCTGTCCAATTTTATAGGTCTGCACCTGGAATACGTTTTGTACTCCTGTCACCAACTGTACTCCCATCCCTATCGTGCCCTTAAAACAATGTAATTCTCTTCTTTTTAACACAACTTGACCATTTTGGGCACCAACAGGTTAATATACTGCATTCATAAGGCTGATATGTAGTTAATTTTTTCTTACCTTTTATCAATGTTCCATGCCCTTTTCTATTCAATCATGCCAACTAATTCAAAGACACTTATCCACAAAACAAAAAACAGGGAGATACCTATACTCCAACACAAACTCTGCTAGCCACAAAAAATCTTTCATCCAAATAGGCAATATCCAAAGAAAAAACTTCCCATCACACAGCACCTTTCACTAAACACACAATTTGGATAGACATTAGTAGATGATCCTGTGTTCAAAAAGTGGAAATGAAGACATCAAAATGTCAAATACTATAAATACTCAAATCAGGCACCTAAATATACAAAAATTAATATAGTCATGTCTGCATCCAATTAGTGAAAAGGAATACAAACATTCCTGTACTGACCTGCCCCCTGACTGGATCCCTCGCCGCCATGAGAAGGCCCTGGACGTGCTTGGTCAATTTCATCCATATCATCATCTAATGTGAGATCTTCCACGCTATCTTCATTCATATCATCCTCTAGGTATTCAGACTTAGGCTCTAATAGTACTTCAGATGGTGGCTCCAACTTTTGAACTGGTTCTAGCACTTGTTCATGGGCCATTTCACGTGGGGGCTGTCTAGGTGATGCTACTTCTGCCACTTGTGGTGGGTTTAATAGCTCAGTCTCTGTCACAGGTTGTTCTGAAGCCTGGCTGGAAGGATGTGTAGCAGGTTCAGCGGACGGGGGCACTACAGGTGTGATATTTGCAGGAATACTAGGAACAGATGCTGAAGGAGCAGGTTGGGACTGAGGAGGAAGTTCACTTGAGCTGCTAGTTTCATGTGTTCCTTCTGTCAGCGGAACAACAGGAGCTGCACTTAAGCTTCCTTCTTCTCCACTCGATCGACGACGGTGCCTCTTTCGTTTAGGTGGTGGCGACGGGCTTCCTTCCCGAGAACTTGGAACCCTAGGCAATGGTGGAGGACGGGGAGGTGGTGGATCATCATCCTCTGGGAGATCAATGATTTGAGGTGGGGCAGCTGGAGGCAGTGGAGCTTGCCGCCTGTGACCTACTGTGGAAGAATGAGATGGGACAGGAGATGATCTAGGCTGAGGAGGAGGTATTGTTTGTTTTCTAGTCCCATGGTGTCTTTTATCCACATTCTCTCTTTCACTACCCCCTCCACCACTATCTGATAAACCCTTAATTTGTAATGATTCTGCAGCCTTCAGAAGAGCCCCTAATTGGTCCTGAGATATATTCACTTCACCATGGTACATGTAATCTACCATAGCTTTCAGTTCTTGAAATTTGATATCCTTTAGTATCACAATAGGATGCTTCTCATCATGTTGGCTCAAAAGCAGCTGCAAAAAAAATAAACACTATTCAATTTCACATCATAAAATAAACCATTTCACTTAACCTGGCCAAGTTTTCAACTGATGTATAATTCAAAATTTCCTTACCTCAAAATATGGACTACATGCTGACAGCACAACCTTATGAGCTTTCAAGTACTGTCCTTCTGCGGCCAATGTACAATCTACCAATGTTCCACTTTCCAGTAGCGTGTCAAAGCCGGCAACTATAGTACTCTGATGATTATTCCATTTCAGACAGAACTGCTGTTCTGATCCCATTGCCTATCAAAAGAAACACCGTCTTCAAAAACATAAAACACTTGTTTCCTGTATAAAAATGGCGTAACTGTTAACCGACAGGGATGAGGGTGGGGGATGACGCTATCTCATAATGGCGGATCTTCTAGAATAAATGATGCAAGATGGCAGAACCCAACTATGCAAAATTTCAAAGAAAATTCATAAAGTTGATAACTATTAAAAATTCACGCCAATTTAGCTCGAAAAATTATGACACTACAAGCTGGCCTATAAAGCATCACCTACGCTACATCAGACACTTGTTCACGATAGTTATGGATTTTCGGTCCCACCCTTGTAACGGACACCGCCAAATCGTTTACTGAATTACCGGTTTAATACGAATTTACAAATGTACCTCAAAATTTAAAACAATTAATACAACTATCAATATGAGGGGTTCATATTTACCTGAACAGACTCTATCTCCAACCGCTTTTTAGAACACAAAAACTGTTTTAACCACTCAGAATAGCGGCACTACCACACAACGCAATTTCTTTTCTCACAATGGCGTACCTTCCGTTGGCGGGGGATTGTTAATGCGTTAAAACGTGAAGTTCATCTAGAACGAAACGCTAGGGGGAAATTAGTTCAGCACTGCGCAGACACCAACTTCGGTTCATAGCGCACCATCATTCGTGGGGCTCTTGCTAAGAGGGTTTGACTTCTTCGTTCCTAATATACTCGCCTTTCATTGAAATGAAGAGGAGAAAAGGGAGCAAGGAGAACGGTGAAAAGTCAAAAGAGAGAGCTGAGAGGAAGAAGTAGGTCCACAACAAAATAGCTTAAAAATCGTCTACTCTGTTTTCTGCTGTGGTGTTGATTGCTGTGACTGTCTGTTCGTAGATTTAGTGTCAACTTAGAAGGTAAGAAAATTTATTACACTTTTTTAAAACGCAGGAGAAGAATTAAAATCTGTAAATCAACCCAAAAAAAATCCTTGAGAAAGAAATGAGAACGCCCTGGAAGTGATTTCCTGCATATTGTTCTTATCGCTGTATATAAGAAAAGGTGATTTGTTGTGTCATGTTTAACATATATGAAACCTCAATGACAGTGATCAGAACTTAGTTGTAATTATTGAAGGAGAACAAAATATTTGCCTGGAATATGTTGTCAGCAGTCAGTAAAGCGACAATATAAAGAAAGAGTAGTGCCTTGTCTCATGCCCTAGTTCCTCTCTCCGTCATCCGCTTTCTAGCCGCGCGTTTCACTTCGTCCTTTTCGACTGTGGTTTGAGAATGCGCATCGTCATTCATCAACGTACGAAATCTGAAATCCTTCGTTGCTTTAATTGACAATTTCAAAATTAGTAACTGGCAGTGAAATTCAAATGTGTCTGAAACGCGGTGAGGGATAGAGAGCGACGAAGTCGGGAGTATAAGCAAGGGAATCGATGATTGACGTTCCCCCACCATAGATTTTTTTTTATATTTTCGGAAGTAATATTCCCCTATAAATTATGTGATGGAGATAACGGGAGTTACGCCAAGATAGCTCGGCCCTTAAATGCTTCAGCAGAAGTTGAAATGTATGCATTTCATTAATGGATATATTTAACACAACGAACTGTAGTTTGCACATTCAAGTTTTAAATGTTTTCATTGTTCTGAAATGGTTCGAATATTATGCATATATAATAGAAAGTAGCCACAGGAACAATTTAAATTAACGTAGTATGTACACAGTGAATGAAATTTTAAGTTAAAACTTGTTTACGAGGAAAATGTAAATTTTAAGTAAACATATGTTGGGAGAACTACTGTGTTCTAAAAGCAGTTATAACTGAGAAAACATTGCTAATTTTTTTCATTTCCTTACAGCATCATGGCAGGTCAGCATTACTGCCTGCGTTGGAATAATTATCAGTCCAATATGACATCTGTATTCCATCAACTTCTGCGCAATGAGGCCTTTGTTGATGTCACTTTAGCGTGTAATGATTCATCCCTCAAAGCACATAAGGTAGACTGTTTATATTTTGCCTACACTTTAATCATATAATTTAACAAGCCCAGAATATTTGTATAACATGGTCTGCCAAGGTACATTTCCATTTAAGAGCTCCTTCGGAAGTTTATTCATGATTACAGCCCATACACAGGTGTGGTAAGGGAATAGGAACAACAAATCTTTAAGTCTTTTGTAAAGAAATACACCTTATATACAGAGTATAATTAAAATAAATGTCATCATTGCCCATAGCAGTTTTATCACTTCTTATACTTCTCTGTACTATTTTCACTGTCACTTTTTAACATTTTTTTAAAATGAAACAGAAATGTTAGAGATTTATACAGAGGCATAAATTATTTTAAGAAAGGTTACCAACCTAGATTTAATATTATTAAAGATGAGAATGGTTATCTGCTTGCAGATCCCCACAAGGTTTTAAATAGGTGGAAAAATTTCTTTAACTGTTGTTCATGGGGTTGGTTATATTACACAGATAGACATACATACAGCTGAGCCATTAGTACCATAACCTAGCTTTGTCAAAGTGGAGAAAATGAAAAGTTACAAATCCCTGGATCAGATTCCAGCCAAAGTGATCAAAGAAGGAGGCAAAATGTTGTGTTTGAAGATACACAAACTTATTCACTCTAGATGGAATAAGGAGGAAATGCCACAGTAGTGGAAGGAATCTATTATTGTACCAGTTCATAAAAAGGGTGATAATACTGTAATAATTATTGATGAATCTCCGTCTTGTTATCATTTTATCCCACATTCACCTGGTGAAGTAGACTCCTTTTGTCATTGAAATTATTGGGGATCATAAGTGTGGGTTCCCTCATAATAGATCTGCAACTGATTAAATTTTCTGCATTTGCCATACTGTAGAGAAAAATGGGAGTACGATGGGACAATCCATCATCTATTTATAGACTTCAAGAAAGCCTATGTGACTTAGTTAAAGTAGAAGCTCTTTACAACATTTTGCTTGAATTTGGTGAACCTAAGAAGCTAGTCAGGCAAATTCAAATGTGTTTAAGTGAAATATGTAGCAAAATATGTGTAATTAAACATTTGTCCAATACATTTCCTATTCAGAATGGCCTGAAACAGGGAGATGCTGTATCGCCGCTCCTTTTCAATTTTGTCTTGGAATATGCTATCAGGAAAGTCTAAGAAAATCAGGGCAGTTTGGAATTGAATGGGACACACCTGTTGGTCTATGTTGATTGTATTAATCTGTAATTTTGCCAATTGTGGTATATGGGTGCAAAACTGAACTTTGAGGGAGGAACATAGTTTGAGGAGTTTTCATAACAGTGTTACATTAAGATGTGTGGACCTAAAAGGGAGGAAGACAGATCATAGAGAAAACTGCATAATGATGAGCTTTGCAGCCTGTACTACTCACCTGATATTGTTAGGGTGATTAAATCGCGGAGGATGGGGTGGGCAGGACATGCAGCATGCATGGTGGGGTGAGGAGTGTTTAGGGGGTGTTGGTTGGGAGGCCTGAAGGTAGAAAACCACAGGGAAGACCTAGACACAGGTGGGAGGATAACATTAAGATGACCTTAGGGAGATAGGAATCGATGGAGCAAACTGGATGCAGCTGACTCAGGATAGAGTTTGGTGGTAGTCTTTTGTGAACAAGGTGATGAACATTCGGTTCCCATAAATAAAGTGGTCTATTCTTTGACAAGCCGAGTAACAATTGACTTTACAAAGAATATCCTGCACCATAGAGAGAGAAAGAGAGCAGGTAGGCAAACAATCCTTGACTCATCACTCATTACCAAGAATGTTATCTAATGAATTCATAGAATTATTAGTTGTGTAGGCTATAGCACCATCACAGTGGCCGCGTGGGCCTTGTGCTGCTTGGTCACTGGGACCATGGGTTCGAATCCCACTCAAGCCATGGATGTTTGTCCGCGTCTTTCTGTGTTGTGCTGTCCTGTGTACAGGTAAAGGCCTTGTGATGGGCTGATCACTCGTCCAAGAAGTCCTACCGAATGTCTATAGATCAAAGCTAACGAAAGTTGGGATCTGCAGATGCTCAAGACACTGAAGAACGGGTTGTCTGAGTATCCTGAGAGTGAGAGTAGGCTATAGCATTGTCCTCTATTCATTTTGCATCACACTCCATCTTTCAGATCATGTATAGGTAGGATTTGAGATTCTCACAGTGGTGAGTATAAAGTAGGCCGTTTTGTGCAGTCCGGTAGAAATTTACCAACAGCAGCAAGGACCATTGAAATGTTGGTGAACGTCTACCAGACTACATGGCGCTACAATCCAGGAAACAGCCACCTGTGTGTAGGTACTTTGTGAACAGCACGAGAATTTGCTGAAGACCAGTATCTGTTGATTTGACTGCCTACATATCCACTTCATGTAAATCATGTTTCATCAGAATAGAACTTAAATTCAGGGTCAAGAAGACCATTAAACACAGATTTCTAAAACCATCTGCAATATCAGATTTTTGCTTCACAGTCTGGAGGCCTAGCCAAGAGGTGTTTCTTTGGTTAGTATGTCTTTCAGGTTTTATTTTTGTCTAACACTGATCCTGTCACAAAATACTTTGCCACTATTTTGTAAATTGTTACTTTGGAAGGCACTTCAAGAAATTTTCTATGAAACTTTCTTTGGCATTTCCTCCAAGACTTATTCTTTAAAAAAGTACATTATAAATATGCTTTGTTCACAGCTGTATTTCACGTTATTTACAGCACAACACGATTCTGTCACATGCGTAGATGCATCTATTGTTTGAAATACAGCTGTGCATTGGTCTAAGCCAGTAAGAGCATTTATAGTTAGTTTACTGGGAAGACCAAAGCCTCAGCCTTTAAGGTATTTATGGTTAGATTTCTGGGAAGAAGCATGTAGCCTGCCAACCTCTGATTTCAAAGTAATTTGTTTCATGATGGACTGGAGTCCCTGTATGTTTCACACAAGGCTGTTGGTTGCACCGAAGCAAGGACTGTCACGTGGTGAGAGTTAAATCAATCAACTTCAGTCAGATGTTTATATTATCCATTTGTTGTCACAGCTTAAGTGCCTTCGTACATGCTGAAACATTCGTGAAATTTCCTTACTATCAGCAGCAGTTTACCTTCAGCTGAGTCCTGCAAGTTTATTGTGATTTGGTATGATGAATCTCAGTGCGATAAAAGTATTACATGATTACATGAAGTTCTAAAATATTCTTGTACATGTACAAACTCTGTCATTTAAACAGGTTGGGGTTATACAAAGAAGTTTTTTGTAAGTAGTTTAAAGAACTTTTCGTTGCTTGGTTAAAGTAAATTAATTTTATTTATTTTTATACTAATTATAATGAAATCTCTATCTATTATGTGTAGCATCTCATTGCCTGTCATGCTGAATATTCTAGTCTAACCCCTATTTCAGTAACTTTCTTTTCCGTAAGCACATTTGTATTGGGTTTTGTGTCCAAATGTGACCCAGTATACCGGACTTTATTAATAAGCTTATGGATGACCTCTGAAACGTTGGTTAGCATCGACCAGACTACACAGCGCAACAACCCAGAAGACAGAAATCTTCATGCTCACCGCTGCGAAAATCTCAAATCGGATGACTGCTTTGCTTGAAATTGTGACCCCCATGAATTTTACTGAAAACTTTCTGAGACTTTCTTACAGAACCATGCTTGACATACAGTTCACACAAAAATATACATTCAAAAGTCTGCGGAACCATATCCACTATCAGTGATTCCCAATACTTAACCTGCTGTTTTATACTTGATGCAGTCTTGGCCATTCACACTGATAACTATT